TCGGTGCGCTGGGACTGCGGCCTTGTCCCGGCGGCTCTTCCCGCAAAGCCCCGGTGTCCCGCGTGTGAAAAATGCGTATTTTATCATTGGCTTTTCGCAAATATTCAAATGAATATTATATGTGTTGTGTTAGAAAGTTATGCTGTATTAATTCTCTTAAGTAGTGTGTTCAATATAGTTTTAGGTTGTAACATAAGGTTAAAATAGAAACTAGGCTATGTAAGATACATTTTTTTCTAAAGAAAGGACTCACACTGAGATAGCAGCCACAGGACACCTGAATCTCTCAGAGAAAGAGAATTTATTGCTCCATTATCAGGAGAAACTAACTTCTTCCTGCCTTACTTAGCCGTTAAGACACCGTCAGGATTCAGAGGAAGAAGCTGACACTGCCCAGACAGAATCCTGTGTTTGAACGGAATTTATGCATCATGTATGAGGTGTATGAACATGCAACAGGCTGTTGCTTTTAAGGGTTAATCCTCTGTTAACATGGGTCCTTTTTCGGACTCATTTTGCCCAGAAAAAGGTACCTGGGCTGTCTGTAACTCTTTGTTTCTATTGTCTCATATTGTCCTAATCCAAATAGTCCAAATTATTATTACTCTAATTATATTATTTTTATAACCATTTTATAGCCATTAAACTTTTAAAATTTTAAAAACAAGTGATTGGCGTGTTTCACACTCAGGTCAGGAGGGAGCACGGCGGTGCCACCTCTCCTCTCACCACAGAGCAAGTGGCACAGGGCTGTGCCCACACGGGGCTGGCACATCTCCAGTGGGGGACACTCCACGACCTCTCTGGGCACTCTGTTCCCTCCTAGAGAGAAAAGTCCTTCCTTCTGTTCAGCTGGAACTTGCTGTACATTGTTTCTCATCCTTTCCCTCCCATGTCCTGGAGCAGAATCTGCCTCCATCTCCTTGGGCACCCTTTCCTCAGAGCCCAGAGCTGCCCACAGCACTCCCAATGTGCTCTCCTCAGGGAGAACAGGGATGCAGGATCCCTGATCCCAGCACTCTGCTCTCAGCAGCCCTCTAAGGACAGAGGTGCTGACATCTTCCCAGGCAGTGCCTTCCCACCACTGTGCCACCAGCAGCACCGTGCAGAAAGTGGTGTGTGTCCCATTCCTTCAGTTTTGTGGATTAAAGATATTATTATTTTATAGAGCTAAAAGCAGCCTCTCAGTGCAGAGAGGAAGGTGTTCAAGCACCATCTCCTCACACACCTGCAGTTAGCAGCAGTGTTGTTCATGTCACACTCTTCTGTGACATGAGAAGAAATTTTGTCCTTTATTCCAAACCCAGAAGATTAAACTCCTTCCCTCTCACAGGATTTGCAGTGTTTAAAACCTCACATAAGCCAGCCAGCCTCCTTCCCCCGGCTCCATGGAGCAAAACACAAAACCCTTGGCACTGTGGGGCTGTGTCCTGCAGGAGTGGCTGTTCCCAGGCAGCGAGGGAGGAAGCAGGAGGGAGGCACAGGCAGCCTGCTCGGCTCCTGCTGCCCTTCCTGCCCTGCAGAGGCACAGCACTGCTTCCTTCCTCCTGCCCTGTGAGCAGTGAGAGCAGCCCTGTGTGGCTGGGATGTTGTCCATCCCTGGATGAGGATCCCTCGTTCCCACCTCTCTCAAATCTGGGCTCTTTAGGAGCTGAGCACAGGCTCTGTTTCCTTTCTCCTGCCTTGTGTGTGGTGAGAACAGCCCTTGGATGTTGTCCATACCTGAGTGAGGATCCCTGGATCCCTCCTTCCCACCTCTCTGAAATCTCTGGGCTCTTTAGGAGCTGAGCACAGGCCCTGCTTTCTTCCTCCTGCCTTGTGTGGGGTGAGAACAGCCCTGTGTGGTTTGGGTGTTGCCCATCCCTGGGTGTTGGAGGATCCCTCACTCCCACCTTTCTCAAATCTGGGCTTCCTTGCTCCTGCCTTGTGAGCAGTGAGAACAGCCCTGTGTGGCTGGGATGTTGTCCATCCCTGAGTGAGGATCCCTCATTCCCGCCTCTCTGAAATCTCTGTGTTCTTTAGGAGCTGAGCACGGGCCCTGCTTCCTTCCTCCTGTCTTGTCAGGGGTAAGAACAGCCCTGTGTAATTTGGGTCTTGTCCATACCTGAGTGAGGATCCCTGGATCCCTCATTCCCATCTCTCTGAAATCTCTAGGTTCTTTAGGAGCTGAGCACAGGCTCTGCTTCCTTCCTCCTGCCTTGTGTGGGGTGAGAACAGCCCTGTGTGGCTGGGGTGTTGTCCATCCCTGGATGAGGATCCCTCATTCCCACCTCTCTGAAATCTCTGTGTTCTTTAGGAGCTGAGCACGGGCTCTGCTTCCTTCCTCCTGTCTTGTCAGGGGTAAGAACAGCCCTGTGTAATTTGGGTCTTGTCCATACCTGAGTGAGGATCCCTGGATCCCTCATTCCCATCTCTCTGAAATCTCTAGGTTCTTTAGGAGCTGAGCACAGGCTCTGCTTCCTTCCTCCTGCCCTGTGAGCAGTGAGAACAGCCTTTGGATGTTGTCCATCCCTGGATGAGGATTCCCCATTCCCACCTCTCTGAA